CTTCTACTCGTGTACGTTCGTAGTGCCTGAAGCAATGCTCGACGGGCTCTCCCAATACATTGCGCATCCGCTACTGGTTTGCGCATGGGCATGGCGTGGACATTCCGTACTTGTTTTTGCAGTCGTCTAATCGACACGAGGATTGGGAGTCCGACTACCACGTGACGTGAGTGAACGTATAACCAGTTCAACGTACGCATATTCAAACTTCCTAAAGTTGTGGGTATACGCATGGCCTCCCACTCCTGAAACAATGCAGCGTACATGGCAGCAGCCTCTCCACGTTGGTTGAGCAGCCCCGTGGAAAATGCCAACTCTACGGGGAAAAATGCGTATAGTTCAGGCGTCAAGTGAACACTACGCACAATACCTTCCATCCCCTTAACGACCCCTGTGATATACACCCATCGGTATGTACACGGAGTATTTGCCGTGGCGTACTTAACTGCGGCGTCTTGGAAGCTCTTCGAATATCCAGCTTTTGCCATCCTACAGCAGTAGTTAGACTTGAATTTTGTTGAAGTTCCAACCTGGCTATAATGCATTGCTCAAGGTAATGACTTCTTGAATGCCTGCCGTCGCCGGGTAAGTCAACACCGGCCACCTTGGCCAAGTAACGACTGTCGTGTGAGCCGTCTGCACTCGCTCCCAAAAGGATGTACTCATGGGGATGACTGCACTCGAGTACAGCACTGCTCACACAAAATCTCACGGATGAATGTGGGCTAGCACTGTTGCCTGTAGCGTTTGCATCATCTCCGTCCACGGTTTCGCCGTTGAGGAGGCGGCTGATGTTCATGAGTACAATGGAAAATGACCTTCTTACTTTAGCAGCACCAATCAATATTGCGGCGATTGATTGGACAAAATGTATGCATTTATCGGATTCCTTGCAGTGACCTTTGGCGACAAAACGAATTCGATGCAGCGCTGTATAAGGTGCTGTGTACGTCATAACGGGGACACTCCTTGTGTAGTTCGAGATCGCACTGGCGGTAACAATCTCATGAACTCTACGGATGATCTAAAGCGAGATGTAAGGTGACGAACTGCAATCAAAACGCGCTCGACTGCGGTGTTTGGACGAGGGGGTGCGTTTCGATGTCGAGGCAATGGCAGCAACCCAACGACACCATGACGAATGGTTTGATGCGAACTTTATCGACCATAGACGTAGTGGTTCCTTCGGCCATTCCACTTCAGTCGCGGACACTTTTCGTGCCGTCCACGACACGTTTGAGCATGAGAATAAAGTCGCCCGCGAAGAACGCGACCCTAACTTCAACGACAACGTGGCAAGTAACGCCGACAACGTGGCAAGTAACGCCGACAACTTTGACGGAATGGATTACCAGACAGCCGACGACGACGGATTGAGCTCCGATAACATAACAGCGTACATCAGTGTGTTAACCAATTCGAGAAATTACTTCTCGCTTGTCCCCGGTAAGTGCACTCTAATTGAGATCCCCTTACGTAGCAAATAGGATACCTGTACCTACTCCCGTCGGCCAGTAACAACTTCAAGCAGTTGAAGTTTGGGGGGAAGGCTGTTCATGTGTTCTGGATCCTGCACACTTTTGCCGACATGACAACGTGCGAACTCTACTACTGCACGACATGCCGCGCCACGCGACGCTACATGTCGACACGAATGGTGTTTGCACAGGCTGCAACTTTCGAAAGCCGCAATGATTTCGAGCTACAATGTGGGGATTCGACCGAATGTATTCACGTTCGGTGAGTTTGTTATTACTACTGTATCGCATGTGAAGTTGTAATAGGTCAGTTCAGAGCCTTGTCGTCAACGAGCCAACGCCCGACGATGCTGACTTGGCAGTTATATCGCCAGGAATTCAATTCGTCCTGGATTATCACACTCATGGCGATGTGTGTGTGAGTGTGTGCTCCAAAACAGACCCGCTGGACAGAGTTGTTCTGAAGGCTGTTGGCCATGAAGTGTGGGAGTGTCAGTTGTGTGTGGTGTCCCTCAAGTGCAGACATGTAGCTGCATGGACCGAGGCGTGTGGGTCACTGGATGCAGACGATGTCGTACAATACGAACACGATTGGTGTGCACCAAATGCATTGGTGCAAAGTGAGGAGCTCGTGGTGGAAGACATCGTTCCACTTGCTACGTCCAAGATCAGCATTGACCAGGTCAAAACCAGTAGAGGTTTTCAATGCCTCGACCAGTCCGGCCATGCAATTGTGTTGCCCATCACCCCAACGTTGCCCTGAACGTGTGGTGCATCTTTCGAGGCGCCATCGAGTGTACTGTTCAAGCAAGCCACAGTGTATGGATTAACTTGCCATCGGCGCATAACAGTAATGAACTACGGTAGATCAATCTAACAATTTGATGTAGACCCAAACGCATGCGTGCAGCAACTCATCCTGCCACAAGGTATTCACCTGCAATGGATCGACTCATGGATTTCTCCGCGTGACGCATACGACCTACTTCGATGTGGATTTGTACAACTACATTCGTGTCGCGCTGCTGGAAGGGCCAACCTCCCTTCGGGGGGTGTTCAGGACCTTACAAGCAATGCGTGGCATGTCAGGAAGTGAATTTTGTAGTTGGACTGTGTTCCGACTTGGTGTCTGGAGTATATTCACCAGGTAGTGCTAACGGAATAAAATGCATGCAAGATCACATTGTACTTGTAGAACTACCTTGGACCTGCACGATGGTTTCAACTGCCCGCACTGTGGATCCATTGACACAGCTCCTGTACTGATTGGCGATGGAACGAAACTGGCCTGTCGAGCTGAATTGGCTGGGGCCCAACCAGATGAAATCAGAGTAGACCAGCACTACCAGGGCGTGGATATCTCCGATCGAGTACTCGTCCGAAGCAAAGCCATCAGGCGTCTACTGAGGACGTTTTCGGGGCGAAACGTGTCAAAGCACGACAAAAGCCCCATAAAAACCATGTCATTGGTGGAGCACACCAATTTGAAGGAGTTGCTAGTGGGCACCCTGACGGTTGCCTATTTGAGCGACTTTGTGGAGTATTTGCTTGGTACTGCTGGTGTAAGTGGGCTGTGTGATCCATTGTGGGCCGACTTTGTGTACGATTTGTCCTGCACCTCTGTGGTCCCTGGAGGACTTATACACGATCCAACAGTTCTGCGCGATGTTCTTCAAACCATGGCGGTCACCCATACTATCGGCATCGCAAATGGCGAATTCCTGAAGCTGCAGGGTCGAATGCCAGTATTATCCCAAGCCCTTCAGAAATCTCAAATGCTCGGCAACCCAAAGCACCCGTTGTGGAGGGGGCTGTCCAAACTGCTACTCCAACTGTCAGTCATGTGCGACTACATGTCACGGTTGCAGCCCCATGAAACGACCGACAGTTTAGCATCCCGTGACGCTCGAGCCTGCAATTACGACGACAAAGCTGCTTGCTTCCCTGGTGCGCCCTGCATACGTTTGCTCGGCCACTACCGAAGCGACGTATCCCGTGATAAAATATGCACGAAGAAAGCTCCTGCATCAAAGTACAAATTGCCGAGTAAAATATACTACAACAGTTCAGGACGTTTATTTACATGCTTATACTCTTATTCGTAGGAATATTTCACTTCGTCTGCCCACATTCCATTTGCCTTGGATTTGTCTTGATGTTCGACTACGAGAGTCCGTCCCACCCATTTTCGATCCTCGCTCAGCGATTAAGCCGGACCGATGGGAAGCGTGTCGTCATAATCGACAACGCCGGCAACATCCAAAACTACTGCATGCAACGAGAGCCCTGGATCTTTCGAAACATTTGGTTCCTCGTGGATCGACTGCACTATGCAAACCACATCAACTGCTCCAGGTATTGATCACATCCCTCACAGACTATTCTAAACCTAGTGAAGCGGGTACTGCATAGACAATTTCCCTTCCTACGCTAAAATATCTACCGTCTTGGCTGAAGTGTACAATTCACAACTCGCGTCAGTTGTCGTAAGCTGCGGGTACATGAGGAGAGACAACTTCATGCTGTTCATTCAACACTACTTGGCAACGTTAAATCACCGTCGAGTCAAAACGATTCAAGTGGAATGTCAAGTTCGAAGCAGCTTTAAGTCAGCCCAATGGCAAGAACTCAACGCGATGCTGTCGGAGATGCAAGGCGCCATTCAACCACCCGCGACACAGCGACCGTGCCAGCCACAACACCGTTGCAAGTTGTGTAGACTCTTCAATTAATACGCATTGCAGACCAAATTCAATGCACACCATCCGATGTCATACGCATATGTAGCCCAGATGACGTGGCACTACCTGGGGCGAGCATTCGCTTACTACACTACTACACGTCTCAACTACGTAAACGGACACCTACCATGCTATTCTCGCTCTATTCACACCAATCTTCGACCGTGGCCTAGCCAAGGTCGTGTCCAAGCGTTGTCATATGCATATATAGCCTAGATGACGTGGCACTATCTGGGGCGAGCATTCTCTCACTACACTACTACTGGAACTGTACTAACGTTAGTATTGAGTAGTACTGGTACATCGTTGTTGTTCGAGGGGCACATTGGAAATGAAGAAAAAAGCGAAGTGGTGCATGGGAATTGAACCCAAAACCTCCACGTTCAAAGTGAAGTATCTAAACCACTGCGCCAGTGGACTTATACTTACGTAAGCAACGTTACATGTACCACAACACATCATATTCAGTACCGGCCTCTTCACATCTATTTACATGTCCCACTTACTAGATAACGTTACTCGTACTATTAATACTACTAGATACTCGTACTATTAATAGAAATTAGAGAAACTTGACAGTCGCCGTAACTGTACTGTAAACAATAATACCAATATATACATATGATTTGAAGTCGAATAGGCTTCCTCCTCATTGGCCATAATTCTCTCAGGAGGCACCGTTTCATAAACACATGATTGGAAAGACACATGCCACATGTCATTACACCACTTTTTTTGGTCGGATACAAGTGAAAAATCCAGACTCAAAAATCCAGACTCATAAATTGGTTATTAGTAAAACATTATGATCTCCATCACATATGCTACGTTTCAAATGATTAGCTATCTATGGGTAACGTGAACTCTCGATGTTGGTTAATTGAGTTTGGATTATCATTTTTAAGACATTCCTCCGCGAGGGCCGACACTAGAACCACATGTTATGGAACCGCTTCGCCAATTGTAACGCGCCTGCTCGACCAGGGGCGGTGTGTAATCTTCGGTTTTTACTTCGCTCAACGCTTCATACCTCGTGCTTCGACCGATCTTCTTCGAAGTTCGGTCCTCGTCTTCGTACGCAGCCCTTGTTATCCGGATTCCCCAGGGGAGGGACGGATAAGAACTCTCGATGTTGGGTTTTCGTCTCGGTTTTTCCTCGAATTGGCCCTAATTCCCGTATAAATATGAGCTTTCTGGCAAAAGAAACTGTGGTAGTGTATAGTAATGAGGGAATTATACTCTGACTCAACTGACAGTGAAAGAGCTTTTGACTGTCGTCACGTCGTGACAAACTGACCACACTGTACAGTAGCAAGATAAAACCATCACTCCTGGTTTCGACAGCTTTCACAGACCGGCGCAGAATTGACAAATACTAGTACCATTAGTACAGTATTCATTCAGGCATATTGTGAAATTGGACACGACCATGGCGGCCACATCGTTTTGGCGGCCGAGAGCGCACACAGACAACAAGTTTGCGTACGTGACGTTCGATGAGCCGTACACTTTGGTGGAGCTCAAGTACATGGACATCCTGTGTCAGATCCTGATGAAGCCTCAGTGGTGGGTCAAGATGCAAGACGTGACCATCTTGGCCAAGTGGAAGGCCGAGTCGGCGCTGTCGGACAACGACTTTGGCTTTCTCGTGCGGGAACTCGAGTTCTACGTCAACCAGTACATGCTGACTACGAACGAACAACCGTTGCCTTCAACCGATCCCCACCCTCTTGGGATCGTGCCACTGCCAGCACACGGCGTCTTCATGACCGACCACCTCGTGGACTCGGACCTGCTTCGATCGATTCAAGCCCTGACGGCGCCGCTCGAAGCCGAAGCCCGCGCCCGCGGCGACTTCCACCCTAACTCAGACGACCAGGTGCTGGACATCGTCCATCCGTCGCTGTACTGCGCCGTGAATGGCCGCACCCGCATCACATCTTCTTCTTCTTCGCTCTCTTCAGCACCTTTGACAGGCGAGAGTGTGCTGCAGTGGCCTCTGTCCAGTGTATTTGACGTATCCAATCGATTCCAGTGGCTGCCCACGCCAGTACATGTCGACAGTTGTGGCCATGCCTCATTCCAGTCGTACATCAACAATATCCACCCAAGTGACCACTCTGACTTGTACCCTCAGCTGGCATCTCTCTTTGAGCTCATGCTGCCCATGTTTGAGACATGCTTGGGATCGGCGGACGTGCAGCCGCGGCATCGCATTGCCCATATCAACATGGATCAAGTCATGCCCACCAACAAGTCCGAGTGTGCCCGCCAAGCATTTTTTGCCCAGCGGCGTCTAGACAACCCAAACAGTGTCACAGACGGTGATGAATTCGAAGACGACGTGTGGGAGTTTGCCGAATCGTTCGACGAGGCCAACGTCCCACTGTTCCTACCGGCGTTGCCTACGGATGAGTTTGAGTTTGAGGCTCAATTTCCATCGGTGAAACTCAACAACAACACCCTGCAGGTGATTGTCAAGATTGCCTCCATCGAGTTGACTCCACACAAGTCGACGTACCCTGGCGGAAGCTGGCACGTTGAAGGCATGATCCACGAAAGCATCGCGGCGTCTGGGATACTGTACTACGACTGCGACAACGTTACGCCGTCGAAGCTGTGGTTTCGCCATGCTTTTGAACCAGACTACGAATTCGAATACGAGCAAGATGAACACACTGCCATCACTGCGGTAAACTCACCCTATATATATATATCGTTCTCTTGTCTTTTACGATGTAGATTTGTATTTTTGATACTATACGTATATGCAATGAAGATATTCTATTATATACTACGACCAGTATCTTTGACCCGATTGGTCGAAATTTTGACAAGTTTTTGGCCGATTATTTGACTATATTTGCCGACCTTTTGAAATATGCGAAAACTCGACGCATTCGAATTCACGAGTGTAATATGGATGGGTAAGTAGGTGTATGGTGTGTCCCGTGAAGGCACTGACAACACCCAAGTCGTGGGGCATATTGAAGCGTGTACGGGGCGTTGTGTGGTATTTCCCAACTATATGCAGCACCGCGTGGCGCCGTTCCAACTGGCCGACCCGACCAGACCAGGCCACCGCAAGATCATATGTTTCTTCTTAATTAACCCCCAGCACTCGATCTTATCCACGGCGAACGTGCCACCGCAGCAGGAAACCTGGATCCAGAGATCATTGGACTCGACTTTTGCAGGTACTTTGCCAGAAGAAGCTTTGGATTTGATTCGAGCGATGGTGGGAGCCACGACCCACGACCAAGCCAAGGACGTGATGACGCAACTCATGCAAGAGCGCAAAGGCAGCGACGTATTTGCCAAGTTTTTGACAGAAGAAGTGTCGCTGTGGTACGTCGTAGGTCCTCGTCGTTCGCGGTTGTACTTCGAAGTATACTGTATTGTAATGATTTCAATGGTGTATATAATGTATGGTATGTAATTGTAGTGAGCACTAACGAGACAAGGAAGAACGAAATGGTACAAGCAAGCTTGGGTTAATTGTAAACATAACGTGAAGAAATACTTCGATGCAATATATGAGTTCACTTGTTGGTGTAATTTCGACGACCAATCAAAAACAATCCATTGATCAAGTGGCCAATCATGATCTACAACATGGATTTCTCAGCGTTAGTATTAATACTAGTACAAATTAGGATCAGTCTTGATGTCAATACAAATATTATAGGTGGTTGAAATGCATGGCGAAACGTTGTCGCAGTCGTAGTACAGTATCCCAGTTGTAGAGATGCTTTCATTGGTCATGCCTTCGACATGCCAGCTCCCGCCATGTTGTTTTAGCGACCAGCAAAAGATAACAGTGGCTAGCTGCAACAAAAAATGTCAGAAAAGTCGTCTTTTTGCAACTTTTCAGAGATATTATGACAATTTTTCAAACGGCAGTTTTTTGTGTGTTTGTTTGGCTACAAAATCTGACATAATTATATAATGTGGCCACCACATCAAAATATTTTACTAATCTTTTCTCACCTCGCATGTGAAAAGGGAATTCTCTGTCAGAGTGTTATTTGACATCAAATTTTCTGTGGCCTCCAGACTCGGCCTACGACTGTTGTTTTCCAACGTATACTAGTGTCCAAGTACTACTAATACGTAGTAGTAGTATACTAGAGACAGCAGTTGTATCCAACTGTCGCATTCAATCAAACGCCCCAAACCGCCACCGTTGATGTCTGCTTTTCAGCGCATCTTCCGATGCCACGAATTACTGGACGTTATCACATCGTTCCAGCCTGGCTCGCCCCAGGACCTCCACGTTTTTCTCCCCCTTAGCTACCCCAAGATCAACTTTGGTACACCCGTTTCCCAACACGACATGTTTCTCGTCAAGCTTTCGTTTGCGTCCGTGCATGCTGCCATTAAACCATGGTATCTCATATATGGCGTGACGCGGCTCTCAAAACTCGTGACGTGTGTCCCTCAATTGATCGACCTTTTCTTCGCCGACGCAGTGTTCTTTGGTGAAGTGGCCATCGTGACGCTACTGTTACGACTCGTACAGTCGACTCCCACACCGCTACCATTGAAACGCGATGCGCTTACAGTCGCCGCCATGAACGGCCAAGTGGACATGTTTCAGCATCTGCAACAGTGGCAATACCGAAACGTTTCGACGAACGTGATGACGTGGGCTACGCACGGAGGCCACTTAGCCATGTTGCAGTACCTCCACGAACAACACGCCACTGGCGCGTCTGCACAGACTATGGATATGGCGGCGCGCAATGGACATTTGCATGTGGTGCAGTGATTAGGCGCGTTTCGCAGCGAAGGAGCGAGTGTCCGCGCCATGGACCTGGCAGCATCGCAAGGCCAGCTACGGGTGCTGGAGTGGTTGCACGCCCATCGCCGCGAAGGGTGCACGACGCTGGCCATGGATTTAGCTGCCAGGAACGGGCACCTAAACGTTTTGATCTGGCTGCACGAACATACCCAAGAAGGGTGTTCGACGGGTGCAATGAACTTGGCCGCGGGGTTTGGTCACGTGAAAGTCCTCAAGTGGCTCCACACCAATCGAAGCGAAGGGTGCACCAAGAAAGCCATACGAGCTGTCGCCAAGCACGGACATTTGAAAGTCGTGAGGTGGCTCCACCATGTTATGCACCTCAAGTGCACGTCGAAAGTGCTGGCCTTGGCGACCAGTGGCGAACACTGGGATGTGGTCGCGTTTGTGACAAGCAATCTATGGGAAAACTGCCACTATTAGGCCAGTGACACCAGAGTTACTGTAGTGTACTAAGAGTATCTACTACGTAGTACAATATATATAATGGGATGTTCTCAAACTGTACTTAGGAGGCTAGTTACATACAGTAGTATTGGTTCTCATGCATTCGTTGACAGTGAACTAATATTACATTTACATGTCATACAGTAGTCTTAACGTCCGTAACACTGCCGTATATTTGCAACCCCCAAACACCACGGATGAAAACACTGGTTTTGTGATCAACGTTGGAATCTGCTTCCGCGAGCTCCGTATACTGTACGTGTGGCGTGTTGTTCGTGGAGGTACTGCAACATGGCTAAGCGGCCTCCGTGCGTAGCCCACGTCATCACGTTTCGGTATTGCCACTGTTGCAGATGCTGAAACATGTCCACTTGGCCGTTCATGGCGGCGACTGTAAGCGCATCGCGTTTCAATGGTAGCGGTGTGGGAGTCGACTGTACGAGTCGTAACAGTAGCGTCACGATGGCCACTTCACCAAAGAACACTGCGTCGGCGAAGAAAAGGTCGATCAATTGAGGGACACACGCCACGAGTTTTGAGAGCCGCGTCACGCCATATATGAGATACCATGGTTTAATGGCAGCATGCACGGACGCAAACGAAAGCTTGACGAGAAACATGTCGTGTTGGGAAACGGGTGTGTCGAAGTAGACCGGGGAGAGGCGAACGGCGAGAAACGCGTGAAGGTCCTGGGGCAAGCCAGGCTGGAAAGACGTGATAACGTCGAGTAATTCATGGCATCGGAAAACTGACACCGACGGCGGAGGGGTCGACAGACTGGACATCGGTCGGGTGGTGTTTGACTTATGGGGGGCTGACCTTGATGGAGTTTGACAGTTGTATGAACATTCCATTCAACAGTCATATATATACAATAGCCCGGTCGCGAGTTTTGTCGTGCTGTCCACTACAAGTAGTAACATGATGTTGCGAGTTGGTGGTGACTGTTCCGTGAGTTGTAAGCGTTCCAGGAGATTTCTTTCGTGCTCGACATTATTGCACAAATCTATATAACGTTATCAACGGTGGTGCAAATTCTAGAACCCTCCCCCAATGTGCTTGCTCGCCAATGTACTAACTTAAAGTATAATTTCCTTCAATAAAAGCGCGCGTGAATACCCCAGAAGTGACGCTACCAGCCCAAGTATATCCCCCAAAGCACGATTTCCCCCCGACAAGCCCACAAATCTGCATCGTATCAAACAGTACGATCTTGCAGCCACCCCCCCGACCGCCCGCAAGAATTGGATCCAATTGGTTGCGTCAAACGCGACTGTCGGTTTTACCTCTTGAATTATCCCCCAGCGTGGAGCGCACTGCACGACAGGGGCGGGTCGCCGTCGTTTCGAGGGCTGTAGAACACAGTGGGAAACCTGGCGTAGGCTTCTTTGGCAGGTTCTTACAACCAATTGAAGCGAGGCACCGCCACATTCGCGTTCGAATCCCCTAGCACCAGAACCGACGGAATGGATTGGAGTGTTTGCATTGAGCGTTTATAGCTGGCGTCGCTTAGTTCTTCCTCGTAGCCTTCAAATCACACCAGGGGGTGCCTGTTGTTCATGGCTGCGTTTACGGTTGCCCCTGGCAAGGGGAGTTGCTCCAGTTGGGTATGTCATCATTAGCATTTCCCAACCGTAACAGTGTGCAGTAGTGGGGTATACTACTATCTTAGGTATGTTAAAACGTAGCTGAAACGTTATACACGATCAAAGGACCCTGCTGCAGTGATCCGAGAGAGGAGACCAACGACTTGCTTGACCTTGGGACGCCGAAGCTTATTTTTCCACGAGGTAGAACGTGGCGAAGCTGAACCGAAAGGATGACAGCACCATCGAATACGCTGCATGTACGCCCGTCGAAGGTCTGGACTTGGGGGATAATGCAGTTTAGCAACACAACCAACCAATATGAGGGACCAAGGCCACACGATCAGAGCACTACAGATTCGACCAACCAAGACCAGCAGCCAAGCATAACAGTTGAAGACAACTGATTTTGGTCCAGCAAGAATCAACGTTAGGGATTCCACGCGTGCTTTTTGGGGTATTTACTCGTGTCGCGTATTTTGAACAATTTTTGGGGGGTTAACGCGTGCTTGGGGTTTTCACGCTTGCTGGAGTATTTGTGCGTGCTTTTATCAACCGACTAACATGAAAGTCGTGTTGCTGATCCGGAGCATGATTATTATGACAATGCATGTATCATGCGTAATACTGCAGCACTAGCTAGTATCACAGGCATGACATACTCTATCAAGATCAATACAGGACTAATTCCAGTCATTCTTCGACTGGTACCTCCACCGAGAGATGTACTCAGAGGTGGAACCAGCCTCGTTCACGCAGACATGGACTCGCCTCCCCACTGGCGTGCTACACGACATACAGCGCAAGAACGTAGCTGAGGTAGTTGCAGATCTGCTTCCAACTGCCCTAGAACAATACCCGCTGCCGACCCGACACTCCGGCCACCGCGACTTCCCCCGGACCCCAGGATACCACCTCCAGCGGTTTAAGCAACTACTACTAGTAGTTGCTTACTAGTACTCTAATAGTAGGAGAATTTACAGTTAGTGCCATCATCCGGATGATGCGTGTCAATACTAAAACGCACCTATTGTTGGTACGTTTTATTATTCCTTGTCGGCACGTTTTATTAAAACTACAAATATAAACCAATTTTTATCCGGATCTCTGTTGTGGCGAAGGAGTTTCAAGCAGACGACAGCAGCGGCGATTGTCGTGATGTTTGCGCTCTCATCTCGAAGCAAGGGTACGTCCATCAATCTCCACCTCCCTCTCATGTACATGTGTAGCTCTCCAGCGAGAAACCCCCATCAAAGATATAGGTACGCCCGTGCTCATGCATGGTTGTTGCGACCGCCGCCCATCGTAGACGAGCGCACGTTCGTGCAAGTGGACGTGTACTTCCAGGAGCGTTCCCTTGGTGTGCAGTTCACACCCGTTCCTAGCGACGTCGTGGCGCCGTTCCATCTGCATGCTCAAGTCGCCGACGTTCACCGAGTAAGGCATATCCAACACTCAACACACACGAGATCCCTTCCCATGTTTATCGGTACATATGTAGCTTCCAAATGGAGAGCGCAGTCCCATCGACATGGCCAACCTGCGAGCGCCAACTCCATCTCGGTATATCATGCAATATGTCCATGCCTTCTTAGGTGTGTATTAGGCGCGTGAGTCGTGGCATGCGTCTGAGTTGGATAAACTCGACTCCTCTGACCCACGTCGCTTTCTCCAGCGTCATCTCCATGCTCTCGTCAGCGCGTCGGCCTCTTGTCTTGCGCTTTGAAGACTGTCATCAACCAAGAGGGTTGTCGGCATCGCCGCCACCACCACCACCACCACTTGCCCTACCGGTACAAAGAACTATATATATATACTCTCCATCCAACCAGTATCACATGTGACACTGTCACCTCTCTTTATCCCATTATATGTGACACTGTTATCACGTAGATCATGCCCAGCCTTCCACCACCCACGACGCCTCTTCCACCTCACTCCCTTTCTTGGATTACTCCATATATTGCAATGGTTGGCGTCATCTTTCCCCCAGGACGTCTGGGTCTGCACCTGGCGCCAATATGTGACGACGTTATATCACGTTGTCACAGCCTATCGACTCGAATTGCGGCGCTCGTTCCCGTACGTGTGTCCTTTTGTACTGACTTTTGTATGTCCAATCATCGTGTCACACTAATTTCAGTCACACACGAATAATGCGGTGATTGGTCCAAGTGTGGATGATGTGATTTGATGATTGGCTACTTGATTATTCGTGTTGTGGGTTTGATTGGTCGATATGTTGATGGAGATCGTCGAATTTCGAATCCTAGAGTAATAATATATCGAATAATATCGTAATATATTCTTAGATGTTAATATTACTATCAATAGCATCCCCTGGGCGTCCCGACACTCGCCAGTCGGTACAACGCTGTCGCATATGACCAAGGCCACATGCGCTTAACCCCAGGCCTCGCCATCGCCGCCATCAATTTCCACTCTGTCGCAGGACTCTGTCATTCCGACGTTGTCGATCGGATTCGACGGCTCGTACGACCGACGACTTTGCACTTTTGCGACCTCTCCAAAGGAATTTCTCATGACGTGGCAGCATCAGAAACGTCGAGTTTGCCGGTGAGAATTCCGTGGAACGCTACACCTACCCAACAACTCACCACTTTGGAACAACCACCCGACCACACGTCTATGGCCACTAGTACTAGTAGTACTAGTAGTACTAGTAGTAGTAGTATTACTACTAGTACAAAGTTGGTTGTGGGAGCTACAACTGCCGTAGCTCCATGTGGCAGTTCATTATATATGGGTAGCCATGTATTAGCAATGGCACGTGTCCACCCAACACCCCCACGATCTGTGAGACACGCACCAAATGTCCCGAATCGGTCCGTGTATTCGTGGATATGGAGCACCCAAGTCGAGTTTTGTGAGATATTGTATGGCATGAAAACCCAAGAATACACGGGCTCGGACTTTGCAGAATTCCACGTCGAACTTGATGCCATCCCCCCTGTACGTATAGTAGTATTACTACTAGTAGTACTAGTGGCTGTAGATTGGCTAGTACTACGACACACTGCAAACAAACTGACAGAGTGGTATCGGACACAGGATGGCGCTTTGGCCAAGTGGAATGCCAACGCTCCCACGTACGTACCTCAGTCATTGGATATATATATATATATATATATATATATATTTGTAGGTTGGAGGTGGTGGCAACCATGCGACTGGTTTGTATTGGTAACCAAGGCCTGCAACATAAATCCTATGACCAAGTGCTCGCGTTGCTACGATCAGCCAGTCGCCCTGTATCTATAACGTTTGCCGACACGAGCAAAAGCACTGTGGAAGACAAGGTCTTATATATATATATATATATATATATATATATATATATATATTTATATTTATATTGTCAACCCAGGGCTTGTGTATATTTGGACAATGCAACGATACTACGTTCACACGAATCAAAAAAGTTCACATATATCAAATGTCATGCATGCGTATAGGAATACGAAGCGTATATGGAAAGCGTGAAACCGGTTGCTGCCACGTCATCATGGTGGGGTACCAGTGCAGGTCGGTGAAAGAATATCATTGAAATATCAGAAAAAAATCAGCTCTTTTCGCAACTTTTCAGAAATATTCATGACAATGATGCTTTGGTTCGCTACCAAACCTGATATATATATATATATATTGGCAGAATATGCCGAATTTTGTTATTGTGTTCTGACAGAAGTAATAGTTTCAACTGCAACTGCCCAATGTATTACCTACATGGTATTCCAGCAATCGTTCCCATTCCATCATAGGAGTCCCATATTAAAAATACTTTGTAATATATTATTTTCTGTCAGACTATTATTTGATATATAATTATTTCACTGGCATCCAGACTCGGCCTAAATGAAGATAATATATATATTTGTAGCAGCGCTGGTCCGCCCAGTACAATATTTGGTCCCCATTTCCATATCATTTAACGATGGTCCACTTGGATTGGAAACGCAAGATGTTTCGGAAACAAGGAGCAACGTTCCGTTATATGTCCAAGTACATGCAATCGTGCAGGTACTATATAGTATGACTCTAGAACTACTAGTACTACTACTATTAGTACTAGTACTACTATTGAATATCATGTTTAATATAGATCCTCGAGTCTGGCGAGTTTGGTCCAGTGTCGCGGTATAATTGGTCCCACCCTGCCGCCTTGTACGACCTATTTTGCTATATTTCGGTTTCCATGTTCTTGTATCGAATCAATCATCAATCATTCCATTCATTATGTTTCCATGAATATGTATGTAGACGACTCCACCCCGGCATGCGAATCTACCAAGTGAATGCCAAAGTGATGTGGCAATGTTCTTATAACGAGGTGCTCGACGCCATCCGCCACGCCCACCGGCCCGTGGTCGTCGTGTTTGTCAACATCGACGGCCCAACCTGCTGTGACTCGATACAAGAGCTCAAAGACACCTCGATACAAGAACTCAAAGACCACTCGATACTAGAACATCAGCAATTGTATCGTCGGCACATGTACCAACTGGATGCTATCGACACCCTAGAGGCTGCCCAGGACATGAGGAGGTTGTACTGGGTGCAGCAGATTCGCCATCTCAACCAATTCCAAGCGCTGGTGGCTGCCAAAGTGCTCCGAATGAACCGGATACTGGCGGATCTAGCCAATCACAGTGTTGCATGGCATCACCGTATCGCAGATTTGAACCACGACAGACAACGGTACCAGAGTCTCCTCGATGCCTTGGCTGCGCAAGCCCAAGGCCAGATGGACAATCCATTGTTGATTCGAGCCAACCGATTGGACGAACGGGCGACGAGTAAGAAGAAATGGAGGATTTATAGCCAATCAAATTGTGATGTAGTGGGTCGACTATATTTATCTTTTTTATTTATCCTTTTCGTGTATATATACATTTAGAACTACACGACCGCGTGAGAAAACTAGAGGCGGACCACAAAAAGTTAAAAGTTCGCCATAAAGGATTGACCAATCAGCGTCAAGAACTGGAGGCGATGCTGCCCAATGAGGACGAAGAGGAGAAAGTTTCACAAGCACGAAAGACAGCGGCTAAGCTGTTTGATGTGGATATATTGTTGCCATTGCAAGATCAATTGGCGTACGAAATAATATATATATGAGAAATAGCAAATATATTACATATATATTATATGTAGGTTGTTCAAGCGACATTTCAAAGATGTGCAGAAGGAATACCAGCAAGAAGACCGCCGGCGTCAACTCGTGCAGCGCGAAGTCGCGTACATGCGACAACATGTGAAATCGCTCGTCAAAGCCGAAAAAAAGATGAAAAAAACAGCCAAACTAAAACCTTCCAAAACTGATACTCGCATTTCGACCCTACGCGAGAAATTGGTACCGTGTTTTATATCGACAGTTTTATTCGAGTTTTATATGTATTAATATCGACAGTTTTTTTCGAGTTTTATATGTATTGAAGTCAAGTAGTCACTGCCTTGAACTGGCATTCTTCTTCGATGTAAAGACAGTTTTATATGTATTTACTCAACTGTAAAGATGTCAGCACTGCAATGTGCAATGTGTACAGTCGTATATTATCCACAGTTATATTTTATATGCATTGACACTGTAAAAAAGTTGTAGTCACTGCCTTAGAATATAAGTCAGTCCTCATGCCCTGTACTTTATTTCTTGAATTTGATTGGTTGTTCATTTAGAAATCCATCAACGACCAACTGGCCGCAGCGGCCGACAGCGGAGATAACGAGCATGCTGCCAAGCTATCCAAGCGCCGTAAGCACCTGACAAAGGAGCTCCGAGCAGCCCTATACGACCAAGACAAGAAAAATACTTTAAAAGTGCCTTCGAAAGGGTTTTATAAGACCAATAACGTCATCGCAGAAATGAATCATCCACAGCCCACGACCCCAACAACCAAAGCCCGACCACTGGCTTATTTCTTTATTGACGGTACCAACTCTATACATAAATCCATATAAATACATTAGGATAGAATATATGTATGTACATTAGGATAGAATGTTCGAATAATCCGTTTATTTGGCCTGGTGCGCTGATTCGCCAAATATATCCGTCGATCGATTGTTTGCACGGAATGAATTCTATATGTAATATTTGGCTAGTGTCACACGATTTCAAGTCACACACTAATTTGGTGTTGAAGTGGTTGAAGAGGGAAATTAGTGGGTTTTGATTGGTCGATATATCGATTGTCTGCCGATGTGGTCGTTGATTGAATATCAAGAATTTACAATATTTGGAATCACACTACTTTACACACTGGTGATGGTTTCCTGAAATCTGATTGGCTAAAAGTCCTGCTATACATTTATTTGGTTGGATATATTCCTTCTCCATGTCTTTGGTCCAGTTTCGAGTAAAAACATGTATATTACTATATATGTACTGAAGAATGTGATAAATCGTGTAATGTCCATGTATTTATGTACGTACACAGGAACTCTCGATAAGCACCCGACCATTTCGAACGAAACAGATATATTTACCAGTGGGTGGAAACACTTCAAGAAGGCGTACCCTCGATACTGCACTATCACTACCCACGGATCCCTAGCTTATTTCAGGCAGCCAGGGGATGCCCACGCTCGCGGCGAGCTGAACCTGGCCGACCGGTCGTTGGAAATTGCAGTGTACGTCCAGATATATATATATGGTTATATATATGTATATATAATATGGTGGATAGCCACGGCTGCGAGTTTACATTGTGCACAAACACGGAAAGCACGAAATTCCACGCGAAATCGACCCGCGACTGTCGAAAATGGGTCGACGCCATCCAAGCTGCCAATGCTCACTTTACCAAAACCCATAAGTCTATGACTAAAACATAACAAAAAGTACACTGTTCAAACCATGTGGTGGCAGTCCTAGGTATTCTTCTGGCCTACATTTGAAGTAGGATGTTTCAAATAGAGTAAAATACCGTTTATCTTTCAAATGTACAGTCAGTATAAAGCCACCCGAACGGTGTTTTTAGTTCTATTTCAATTCGAAGTTCCGGATATACAATCGAAACTCTTGCATTATCCGGACGGTTTGTACCTAGTTTGAGGACGTAATTTCTAAAAAGTACGGATAGTGTCGAAATAGCAACCGAGGTTAGAATTTACCGTTGGAGATGCTCGTATTCACAGTTAGCAGTAATATATACTTTCAAAATTAATAAGGGCGGTTCTTAAATCGCCCCGATCCGAATGTCCGCGAAATGACCCCAATGACAAAAAGTGGGATTTCTCTCAAAAACAATCGCTACTAATCACCCTATTATGACGCAGTTTCCTGAGCTGAGTCAATGGACGACGATCCAATCTTGCAGCATTAACACCTGAGCGCGTAGGCCTCGTATGCGAGTTTCTTCGTTTCCCCAACACACATGCACACCTATGTACAGTACACACAAACTTCTCAAGTACACCAACTGGACGCCTGCGCTACCGCAACGTGCGGCTACACGTCGTCGCACTGCCCAGGCAGTTGTGGAAAACTGACAGTGAGTTGGACGTCCATTTTCTGCCCAAATCTTCGAAATTCTAACCAATGAAATCATCGCGGCTATTTGTTGTCGATTTTCACAATGGCTCACAATTGGCAAGTTTAACCGGAAAACACAATATATACTTTCAAAATTAATAAGGGCGAGTCTGGATGCCACGTAAAATGGCCGTTTTTTCCAAGAAAAGAAATATCCATTTTCCGAGATTTTGTGCGTCTGGATGCCTCCAAACTTCAAAACAATATGGTATATAATTTTCTTCAGAATTGTTTGGTGTTTTATGGCATAAAAACACGGACCGATATTTGGTCCAACTTTCAATCGGAAATCGAATAATATTTCCAAACTTGAACTACGACGTATTTAACACAGCTCGTAGATATTTCGTTTCTCCATGTTTTTTCATGGGATATGCAAAACTTTGGGAAATTTTTGCAGACTGTGTGTGGATATAAATTTATAGGGTGTGTGTGCATCTAAACACGATCAAAGTAAACAAATACAAGGCAAACAATCATGCAAAGTACCCAGACCCGTAGGATTAAATAAACGTTTTAAAATGATGCTTTGAAACGTATGTACTTGGCCTAGTTGTTTAACGTAATGACGAACGCTGATTGGTCCTAGTTGTTTAACGTAATGACGAACGCTGATTGGTCCTAGTTGTTTAACGTAATGACGAACGCTGATTGGTCCTAGTTGTTCAACGTAATGACGAGCGCTGATTGGCCCGTGCGTCGTGCGATCATCTGCGACACCGTAACACCATTCGAAATGAATGGGTTTGTTCGCTAGTCCACACTGGCACGTTCCGGCTCTTTAACCACATGGCCATGCGACGATGGTCGTGTTCCAGCGCCCAAAACATGGCTCGCCCCGTGCACATTTCGCTGCGATTTGCACATAACCATTGGACGACCTCCAGAAACCCATTCTCGACGGCGCCGTCCATGGCGTCGGTCGTACAACCCTCACATCGATGGGCATGTAAATATGTCACCACTGACAAATGGCCATACGTTGCTGCCATGTCCATGGCACGGGTTGTGCATCCTTCCGATCTTGTGGTCGAGAGAAAGTGGACGACCTCTAAAAACCCATATCGCGCCGCCCCGGTCATGGCTTGGGTCGTACAGCCTTCACTTCGATACGTGTGGAGGAATTGGACGACCTCCAGAAACCCATGGGTCGCGGCCCCGTCCATGGCCTGGGTCGTACAACCCTCCTCTCGATTTACATGGAGCCACTGCACCACATCCAGATGGCCATTTGCTGCGGCCACGTCCATTGCCTTCGTTGTGCACCCATAGTCGCTTGGATTTGCATGCAACCATTGCACAACTTTCAAATGTCCATTGCCAGCAGCTCCATCCATTGCGTGGATCGTACCGCCTTCCGTGCGGTGCTCCAACAACCACGCCACGACCTCCAAATGGCCATTTGCGGCCGCGCCATCCACGGCTGAGGTCGTACAACCTTCTGACCGATGTTCATGCAGGAATTGTACGACCTCCAAAAACCCATGCGCGGCGGCTTGGTTGATGGCGTTAACAGTCCCGCCTTCAGTCCTTGTTGAATGCAGCCATTCCACCACGTCCAGATGGCCATTTTTCGCAGCATCGTCCAATGCCACGGTCGTACAACCCTCGATTCGATTTACATGGAGCCATTCCACCATATCCAGATGTCCTCGACTGGCCGCCAGGTCCATCGCAGCAGTGGTACTCCCGTCTCGGCGATTTTCATGCAGAAACAGCACCACGTCCAAGTGATTGTTGGCTGCCGCCCCCACCAACGCCAGTTCGGACGCGCCGTCCAATCGATTCTCCACCAGCCACTGAATCACTTCCAAATGGCCACGTTGCGCCGCGGCGTCGATGGCCTTGGACGTGCCGCGACACCCGACGTGATTGAGAAACGGGAGAAGGCGCAGCTGGTTGTTGAACGCGGCGAGGTCGACGTGCGGGTAATGGGTCATGAAGAACAGTCCTTTGTCGAAGAGGTACCGAATGACGTCGATAAGTCCAAAGTACACGCTGTGGAGAAGCACGATGTGATGCATGCATCGATGTGTGTGGAACAGCAGGTCAAGCCTCGTGATGCCGTGCGTCGCGTACCACGGCGCCAGCACGCGATTGATCGCGAGAAAGTCTTCGTGGACGTCTGGCTCGGTGTGTTTGTCGGCGCTGGGCAGTCGAGGGACTTGCAGACGACTGAAACGAACCATGTCGCTGGGTATGCCGTCCTGGAACTCCACGATTCCTCGAAGGAGCTCCGCACACCGGATGACTTCTAGTGCCGGAGAGCGCGGTAGGTTGGAGGGACCGTCAACGCTGATGCTAAGAGAGATCATTGACGATGGCACATCTGAAAGAGGTGGCGCCGGCTCGGAGGGTGCAGTTGGCGGCGGGGCTGGTGTCGGCGTCGACTGCAAGCTCCCCATGTTCTCAAATCATGATACCCGTATTTGAGAATTTATGGACGAAAATACGATTATAGAGGCTTCGATTTGATCGTGTTTTAGCCAATCATAACCCTTGACTTTAAGTGAATACCTCTCTAATATTATTCCTACATGTATTAAAATACATACTTCAAGTATTATTCATATTACTATTAATACTACGTGTACATACATATATTTCTGTCGTTCGTTTGAAATTATGTCATATATCAGTTTTTACTCACAGTGCAACACTGTGATTGGTCCAGATATTGCCATTTTACCCAAAATTTGGACTTTAAGATCGTACCACACTAATTTCATCCATACACTAATTCGGTGTTGAATTGTCGAAGAGTGGATTTGATTGGCCACTTGATAAGTGTTCTGGGTTTTGATTGGTCGATGGATTGTCTGCCGATTTGGTCCCTTGATCAAAACAGTTCTACTGTTGTTTTGACCCGAAATACTGTTGTGAATGAGTGAATTACAGTATCCCATCCCTACTCGTTTTCACCCTTAGGGCATCCCCAATGGTGCGACGGTAAACGCTATTTTACCGTTTTTGGGGTCAAGTATGCAGTTTGGGCAACCCCAACGGTGCGACGGAATCTACCGGAAACGGCATATTTTTACCTGGAGACGGCAAATTGGCCATTTTTACCGTTTTGTGACCACCGACGGCAAAATACCGGAGCCAATCATAAACTACAATTCATCATATTTCCACCAATAAAACGCATGTATTTGAGCACGGTCATTTCCATACAAGTACTGACACTTTCTCTCAACGGGCGGGGTGCGAACTTCACCACTGACGAGGACTGCCAGCTTGATTGTTCGTGGTTGAACATATCCCAAGATGAGTCTAAGGAGAGCGGGCAAAAGGCCGAGCAGTTTTGATCCCGCGTGGGGGCGAACTATTGCACCTCTTGCGAGCAGACTGCCATCGCACAGTACGACCCTTAGCTACCCAGTGGAGCAACATACTGGAATAATGCAACAAGTTTGTTGGGTGTTCAGCATGGTCTCGTTTAGCGTACGCTCTTGACCCCGGTGTTTGGCGTGGTCGGTTACTCGTCGTCGTCATTCCATGCCTCGATGGAATTGTACAACGAAGCCTCCATATCCGGAAGTGACAGTTATGCGGATTTTATACCGTTTTACCGTTGGGGTTGCCCAAACTGCATACTTGACCCCAAAAACGGTAAAATAGCGTTTACCGTCGCACCATTGGGGATGCCCTTAGCCCTGTAACGTGGGGTTCTGTCCTACCCCCGTTGAGTACATACGATACACCAATCAATATGCATTCCACCTCGTTCTCGCTCCCGAAGGTCATTCGCAAAAAGAGTTTGCGAATAAGGTAGAATGAAAAATATGACGATGTGATTGGCTCTACCCCATTCTGAGTTTTAGTCGGAACAGGTTCTTAGCAATCGCAAACTACCCGAAATGCACTTCACTCCTTGTAAGAGGTGAGGTGGTCCGAGCATACAAAGTTCTTTATAAACACTTCAATTGCAGTGATTTCTGAGAAAAACAACTGAGACTGAGGGAATTGTACCCCATTCCCATGGAGAAGTGTCCATTCCCATGGAGAAGTGTAGAAGAAACCAATACTTCGTAAGTCGAATACCTCCTATTATTAATAATTGTGGTCTCGGGGTACCTTACACACCGAATAAATAAAAATTCGACCGATAAGCGTGAGTAAAAATATACTACAGTACCGGTAAGCTTAGTATATTGTCCGGAGACAATCAATAAGTACAGTCATATACTGTGTAATCCAATAGTATATTCAATATACCTAGTAATAGGGAGTAGAAATATGGATACTAGTAATATATTGTGCTTTTCACCTTTTTTTGGCTAATCCAGGACTAACAGTAAAACCATGCTTTAATAAAAATTCGTCGTAAATTACGGCACCCATCCATGGTTTTACGGATGCAAGTGAAGTTATTTTACGGTTCAGCGTTGAATTCTTACTATTCGTGATGCTTTGATTGGCTAAGAATTGGTGGAGGTGCTCGGTTTTATCTTATACAATGATCAGCATCGACATGCGTTGGAGATGTGTTGTGCTTGTCCAAGTATACGGCATTGACGTTGACATCGTTCGCGTCCTACTCGGGCTGTCACGGCGTAGCGTAACCAGATTCAACACGATGTTTACATCTACTGGTAACATGACCCAGATCAAGTCGCGCTCGACAGGGTCACGCTGGCCGGCGGAGGTCAATGCCTGGGTGAACGAGTACGCAACAGTTCACCCTTGTTTCTACCTTGAACAGCTTAAAGACGCTCTGCGACACCAATTCCCGACGCTCAAGAATGTATCTGCGGCAACGATATGTAGAGCACTCATTCATGACTTAGGTTTGACGCGAAAAGGTATTAAATGTTCGAATATATTTCCAGTATTTATTCTTTGTATATTAGTCTTAGAACGACGAGCGCGTGAGGCTGCAGATTTCGAGTTGCGTGATTACTATCGGCGACTGAGCCCGTACTCCTCAACCAGCTCGTGTTTGTCGACGAGACTTCCAAGGACGGATGCGATTCGATTCGCAAGTACGCTTGGTCGAAGCGCAACAAGAAGGCAATTGTAAAGTTGCCATTTTCTCGTGACTAGCAGGTGTCAGCGGTTGCGGCATTTACGACGTCCGGATTTTTAGCGTGGGATTATGTGGACGGTATAATATTTGCCTTTTTTTGTCCTTTTTGTTATTTATTTGCATAATTTAGGAACACTTGATCGTGCTACGTTTCATGACGTCATGGTCAAAAATATTCTGCCGTATTTGAACCCGTGGCCGCTGCCGCGTTCAATTTTGGTTTTGGACAACGCAAAAATCCACATGTACAAGGAGCTCCAAGATGCTGTTCATAGTCGTGGAGCATTGCTATTTTTTCTGCCACCATATTCTCCGCAGCTAAATCCTATTGAGGTGGGATTTAGTTTGCTGAAGCGCTGGATTGACAAGTATCCCATGGCATTTCGATTCAATATCTGTACGTAGACGTGGCGTTAGTAGAATGCACAAAAAAAGTGAGCGCATAGGATACAATTTGTATCGCCATTGCGGATATGATTCTACAGCGCTATACCAAGAAACTTTTCTAATGTAAAATTGTTCGAATTGTTTTGCAAATTGATTGACATTACTAGAGATTAATGTGATCAATGTCATCCATGTTGACACTTGGACCGACAACTTCCCCCACAAATGGTTCGCGATAGGATG